ATAGATCAATCCGATCTCACAGGGATTCGTATGCATTTTATGAGGTGTCTAAATGTTACGACCGCACTCGTACAAATTCGTATGAATTATTGTAAAATATGTATGAAAAATGTGTGAAATGTAATGAGATCAGACATAAAACAACAAAATATTACAAAATATGGGTTTAACATCAAAATATATTGTCTGATGTTAAAAAGTATGTTTTTATAATGTAACCTTCTCCACCTTGGTCAGTTTAAGGATAATTCATGCAATTTTATAGTATTTATTTGAAAGAATTAAAACAGATTCATGTCTATCCTTGTATTATTCAACTGATTGAGATTGATATGGGATTTTGAAAGTAATTAGTAATTAAAAGTAATTAGATACTTTTTAGAGACAGTAATCTAATTACACTGTTGAAGAGGTAATTAGTAACTAGTAATTAATTACTTTTTTAGAGTAACTTACCCAACATTGATCACAAATAACAATCACAACATATTTCCATCAAGAGGTGCATCAATGTTTGGTCAAGATCTTGTATTGTAAAAGAGTCAAGCGCAAGCACACTGTTATGTCTCCTCCATCACATCTCAAAGACTTTTATGATGTGTCCCTACATGGTTGTTTAAGAAACAACCGGCCAGGCAGTGTATTCGTGTAAATGTCTCTTGTGAACCATTTTGTATTATTTGTTGGTTAAGTTGTTTCCCTTATTGGAATAAATTATGGTGTAAGTGGACGTTTTTTGGCAGCATGAAGTGTATACTGTATTTGTTTTTATATTTATATGTGCGGTCCAATAGGCTATTTGTTTTAAAAATTGAACAAGATATATAATTTGGTTATGGGTTCAACACCGTCAGATTTCAATATTTTCAATACATTTTGACATTAGTAAGATTTAACTAAAGCATAAGCATTAAAACCACGGAACATGAACTGCCATTGATGTAAATTCATAATTTATGAGACAACACTTTCTGATATTCACAGATATTTCTGATATTCCGTGTTTGCACTGTTATATGCCAGGGGGCGCTATGACGCATCTCCTGAAAGAGTATCAAATCGATCAAATCTCCTGATCAAAACACAGATGAAGAAGAAGCTGAAATAAGCGATAGCATATGTAAGCAGATGCATATGTAAAATAACACGATCATCAACATTAAAAAGTATATAAATCGAAACTGCCGAAATGAAATGTCGACCCAGGACTGTGAAGCTTTAGGGGCATTGACAATTTTATTTTTCTCAGCTTTTTGCTCAAATTGTTGCTTTTTTTAAATTAAATTCCCCCCATTTAAAGCAGAGGGTCTGTTATCTCTTTTGATAAATTGCATGTTCGGGATATTTAATGATCAAAAATTCTGGCGCTGGCTTCCATTTTGTTTTTTAATGGTGAAGAGTTAAGAGTTAATACTAATAGAGTGCTTGTTCAAAGTTATATGGATTTTATCCCATTTTAATAATGTTAAAATGTTAGCACAACAACATTATTTATTCAATGTTCATGGGGGAAAAAAAATGTTTTAATTGGATGTTCGGCCTACTACTAGTTTCCTAATGTTCAGAGAACATTCCCATTGTGTTTGAAAAAGTAATGTTCACATAACCAAGAAAAAAAACAACTTTGTGAAACATTTTAAAAACACTGGAGATTTTGAATGCTAAGAGATGTTAGCTGGTTACACTGTCAGTCAGACATTAGTCTGTATTCCTGTCTAAGTAGTTTTTGGCCAGAAAGCTACAAGGTGGACTAAACTATTTGCCAAATAGATCGGCAAGAAACAGTGCTGAGTGATTAATGAATACAATCCACTGCTGAGGATATTGCCAGCCGGCGCATTTGTTTCAACACATCACTCATCTTCCTTTCTTCCATCTTTTGTAATTTTTCTGCTTATCTTTCACTACAATGTATACCACTAATTTCCTCATCTATGACTTTTTTTCTGCTTTATCTTCCTTTTCTCATTCTTTTACTGGAATTGTTTAGCAGAGACCTAGCCACAAGGCTATCTTTACCCTGTCACACTTCATAACAGTTAAGAGATAACCACGGTCTGGTTTCAGGCCAGTTAGCCATAGCGCAAAAAGAGGGCGAACAGCTATTCACGCTAACCGCTAACTGACAGCTGAGGAAGTGTTAAACCACAGGAAATGACTGAATGTAAAAACTCATTAAAAACACTGTCGTTTTCCAACACTTGTTTGCAGAAATTTTTAATGCACACTTGAAACACAATCTATATAAAACAAAACCCCAGCTAGCTCGATGCATAGATACTTTCTCATCTTGTCATATATTTCACTTAATCTGACAGGCTTGATGGCTTATACATCACTGTGGGCTAAGATAAATGACATCTGTCACTCTCACCATATAAATAACAGATGGTGTGAGATTTAAGCAATTTTAACCACCATGGTTTGTGCTTTCGGCTGCCATTCTATCACTTTAGTTTATTTTATACCACTTGTATTGTTTGGTCCAAACAATAAAATGGTTTGACTGGTTAGCCCCTGCTGGTAGATGTTGGAACTATTTTTGCAAGCAACTATTTAATTACCTTTTTTATTTTAAATATCAAACTTATTATATGTTGGATATTTTGTATGGTGGCCGTATTATGCTTTTTTTTTTTTACATTTTGAACTTGCTTTAATGTTTGAGCATGAAAAATGTCTGCAAAGTCACTCCAAAGGGAGTTATTCTCTGTATTTATATATCAGTTTCTGAATTCCCTGAAAAATTCAGATTGTATTCTTGAGTTTTTTGGGGGGAACAAACAAGTCACAATATTGTTA